ACATATTTAGATACGAGAAAGATAAAATTAATTTTGAAAAAGATCAATATCGCGATATTATAATATCTTTTATTCTAAATTATTGTTTTAAAGAAATTTATTCAATTATTTGCATTATTAATTAATTCTGAACAATGTAATTCGCCAAGTGATTTTCAAGACAACTTATAAGGTAGATTACTTTGGTCAGTGCAAGAAAAACATTAGTCTAAATGCAAATCATTATAAATTATGCCTTTTTATCACAATGATTTATTTATAGAAGCAACCTCGTGAAAAGATATCTGATCCACGCGAATGAGTATCTGATTACAATGGCATTTATTTCGAATGACAAACATAACTTACCGAGGATACGCGATTCTGAAGTGACCGTGAGATATTTACAACTGTTTCTAAAAATTAGTAAAAAAGAAAAAATTCTGAAATCGCATAATGCATTTTTAGAAATTAAAGAAGAACTAATAACAAATAAAAAAATAATGGATTATAAAATCAAACAAAAAATTAACATAACAATTAATCATTCTTTTTTTTAATGCTCTTACGTTCAGTGTATTTTTTAAATCGAAAATTATTCGTTTTAATTCCACTCATTTCCTGCTTGTTAAAATAAAAAATTTCAAATAGATTTCAATATTGGAATTGGTAGTGGATAATTATGAAAATAGGAAAGATAAAAATGCAGCTATCGTTTAAGAGATATTATATACGGAAGCTCGAGCTGTGTGTTGAACCGGTCAACAATGCGCCATTATTTGCGAATAAATAAAATCCACGCAATCTATATGCGCGAGATAGCCGGTTACCTCGTGAATGTAACGATAATTTAAACCGTTGAGAAGCAAGGCTCCTCCGATGGCTTCTCGGTGCACAACGGCAATGCATTCTCCGTGATGCGATGCTTCCTCCTTTGCTGAACGATTCAATTTGGCCGGACAAGATCGCAAATTCACGTCGTTAAGCGAACCTCGCGACAGCATATCGTTTGGCGCTTAACTACAACTTATGTGCGTTAATATGTATATATTATGCGTACAATATATGCTGCATGTGCAGCATTGTAAAGGCGAATTTATACGGTGTGCTTTCGATGATTATCACGGATAAATGATTTGAAATTTGCTGTTAAAAGCAAGATCGCTGATCAAAAATACTCTAGTTTCTAGTCATACAATTCATTTTACAACTTTTTCCTATATACTATCTATTTATATTGAATAAAAGTTCTTATATAGGATAATTTATATTTTTTAATTTATATTTATACTTTGTATTTTTAGTTTATTTATATTTTTATTAGATCACTTATATTTATATTATTAGATTACACAAGTTTTAATATGCCTTTTTGTTTCTCTCGCCGAAACTTAACGTTTTTCGTTTCGAACATTCATTCGGCAAGATTAATCCCTACAGTATTCGAAACCGCGTTTTGGCTAAACAAGCAAGACTTGTAGAAATAAAGAAATCCTGCCGACAAAATGGACATGCAGGCTCCTATATGAGGAGGTAACAAAAAGAAATTCGAGAAGCTCCAGCCGAGCAAACTCTTTCTTTTCGTTGTCCATCTTACTTTTAATCGTTTATTTATATAAGAATGCGAACTCGTGGGAGAAGCTCATTTGTAATTTAATCTCTCTTTAATAAAATAGACAGTATGACACATCACCACCTATCGGGACGGCACGACTCGAATTGCATTCGTAATCGAAGCTTTGTTCGCACTTGCAATTTTTGTATACTACGTCTTTCAAATTATATTTTATGATACCATATATGGAGTGTTTATGCGCTATCATTAGCTACCTACTGTCCTTTGATTTAAGATAAAACTGATAATTAATTTCGTTATTAATTTAGGTCTCTATTCAGACATCGTAACTTGACGTTACGTCGAGTATTTTATCCAATATTTTTTATTTTCGAACAGAGGGCTGTTCCGGTGATATTTTCTTATATTTTTAACCAGGTTCTTTTATTTTTTCAAGAATTTAATCCGTTAATTGCGATAATTAATTTTGTCATTATTTTACGGTCGTCATATAGATATCTTAACTTGACGTTAGGTCAGTGTTTTTGCAACATTTTTTATTATCGAACAGAGGGCTGTTCCGGTGATATTTTCTTATATTTTTAGACTGGCTCTTTCATTTTTTTAAGATTTAAATTGCTAATTGCGATAATTAATTTTGTCATTATTTTAGGGTCTTCATTTAGATATCGTAACTTGACGTTAGGTCACGTGTTTTTGCAATAATTTTTATTATCGAGCAGAGGGTTGTTCTAATAATATTTTCTTATATTTTTAACCAGGTTCTTTCATTTTTTCAAGATTTAAAATTGCTAATTGCGATAATTAATTTTGTCATTATTTTAAGGTCTCTATTCAGACATCGTAACTTGACGTTACGTCGAGTATTTTATCCAATATTTTTTATTTTCGAACAGAGGGCTGTTCCGGTGATATTTTCTTATATTTTTAACCAGGTTCTTTTATTTTTTCAAGAATTTAATCCGTTAATTGCGATAATTAATTTTGTCATTATTTTAGGGTCTTTATTTAGATATCGTAACTTGACGTTAGGTCACGTGTTTTTGCAATATTTTTTATTATCGAGCAGAGGGCTGTTTCGGTGATATTTTCTTATATTTTTAGACAGGCTCTTTCATTTTTTCAAGAATTAAATCCGCTAATTGCGATAATTAATTTTGTCATTATTTTAGGGTCGTCATATAGATATCTTAACTTGACGTTAGGTCACGTGTTTTTGCAATATTTTTTATTATTGAGCAGAGGGCTGTTTCGGTGATATTTTCATATATTTTTAGACAGGCTTTATCATTTTTTTAAGATTTTAAATTGTTAATTGCGATAATTAATATTGTCATTATTTTAGGTTCGTCATATAGATATCTTAACTTGACGTTAGGTCACGTGTTTTTTCAATATTTTTTATTATTGAACAGAGGGCTGTTCCGGTGATATTTTCTTATATTTTTAGACGGGCTCTTTCAGTTTTTTAAGATTTTAAATTGCTAATTGCGATAATTAATTTTATTTATATTTTAGGGTCGACATATAGATATCGTGACTTGACGTTAGGTCACGTGTTTTTGCAATATTTTTTATTATCGAACAGAGGGTTGTTTTAGTGATATTTTTTTATATTTTAAATTAGGCTTTTTCGTTATTATAAGAATTTATATTGTTAATTGCGATAATTAATTTTTTTATTATTTTACGGTTTTTATTTAGATATCGTAATTTTAGATTACGTGTTTTACTAATATTTTTTATTATTGAACGTAGGATTAGTTTAGTAATATTTTTAATTGGATGTAATTATGGCCACAATTAGTTTTTGTATGGATTCATTTTCGCACATTTGTAAATATCTTGTTAAACGGAACTTTTCTGAGTCTTGTTTGTTAAGAAATAAAATTATGCTATTAAAAATAATTTAAGAGTATATAACTCTATTTGTATTGTTTGGCACCAAGCACAGAGTCGACCGTAATAAATTGTTAAATGAGTATTTAAGCGTGTATGCGCGCGTATATGTAAATATCTACTTAAGCGGAACTGTTCCGGGCTTTGTTTATTAACAAATAAATTTTTTCCTGTCAGAAATAATTTAAATGTATGCAACCTTACTTGTATTTTTTGGCACCAAGCACAGAGTCGATTGTAATATATTGTTAAATGAGTATTTAGGCGTGTATGCGCGGATATATGTAAATATCTACTTATGCGGAACTCTTCCGGGCTTTGTTTATTAACAAATAAATTTGTTTCTGTCAGAAATAATCTAAATGTATGCAACCCTACTTGTATTTTTTGGCACCAAACACAGGGACAACTGTTATAAATTGTTAAACGATTATTTAAGCGTCTGTGCAGAAATATCCTGATAAAATGATTTTTCTTGTTTATTTGAGGTTTTGTTTTTGGATGGCATATAATTATCTTTTATAATAATTATTATTTATCTCGAAAACATAACACTAAACGTCGAACTTTATACTGTATATGATTACAGCCATATAAAATTGTTTAAAGCGATGATTTCGATAAATCATATTTACAGTAATTTAAATAGAAAGTGTACACTAAATATAACTGAATAAATTACTATATGCAGATTTATATCAGCTTAACTGTGTTGTCGTGCTTTAGATATAAATTGCTCCAGCTAGAGTCCGCATCGTATATTACTTGACACTTACTATTCGTAATTAGGTATAATCGCCTTAACATTGAAAATAATAATTACGATGAATCGTATTTTCCCATTGACAAGAGAAATGCAGGGATTCCCAAAGATAATATTTAACTTCATTTAAAAAGGATGACATTAAATGTATTAAGAAAATACGAAATAAATATTCAAAATTATTATTGAATATAATTAAATATATTTAAAATCTTGTAAATTTCTATGAAACAGTTTAAAAATCTTATTTAAATATTACTTAATTAGGACAAATTATTTGATCACCACTGCTAGTGTAGTATGTAACTGTGATCTTGGTCTGTTCGTTTAAATATAAAGAGAGATTGTGGCGATATGATCGAATGTATTGCAAAAATGTCAACGTGAATTTATGCGTTCGGATTTCTCGTATTTTATATGTACACCTTACATGATCGAGAGAGATTCATATGCACGATATCGCGTTCGTTGAAACACATTAATTAATAGTTGAACATAAATCATCCACTTCCTTTTTATATATTATAATATATCGGGGAAATTAAGTAATAAAAATTATAATAAGAGCTAAAAATAGTACAGATTATAATACATGTAAACTGTGCAAATTACTTTTCAAATCTTGCAAATCATTTAGAAACGCTAAAAAGAATGTAGTGTTAAATATTTATTGTAAATGATAATTTAAATTTTTCGGGCCTCACAAACATGTTTTTAATTTTTGTTTTTCTTTGTCTTTTTTCTGAGAACTGAAAAAATGTATTGCAATATTTATTATTTCAGAGAGAAGATGAGTTACATAAAGCTGTGAAATTGACATCGAGGGAAAGAAGATTCATAAAATTCGCATCAGTGGCGTACGATGGTCAATTATACATGACTCCGCAAGACTTTCTTGAAAGTGTCGTTGATGCTGAACCTCGACGTAAGATACATTAAATTTAAATACATGTTTTAATTTTTACAATTACAATTCAAGTAATCGAATAATAATGAATTAAATTATAAAATAAAGTTCTATCATTTTAGTCTTAATTCTTAATGATACAAAATTAAAAATTGAAGGAGAAACATAATAGTTTCGAATAATTTGTATATATTATCTCTCATTATTTTAATATATTTTTTGCCAAAATAATTTTTTTTTTTTTTGAAAAATTTTTTAAATTTTATATTTAAATTTTTGTGTTGTCATAGTTTATTTTACTTTACTCAAACTGTAAAAGAAAGCTTTAATTATACGTTAGCTAATATTTACATCACTTCTGAAAATTTGTATCACTTTGACTAATGTTTTCTAAAACAAACTCATATTAAACTTGCACTATTTAATCACTGTTTAATAAACGTTTCTCGACGCAGTATAAGCATCTCTAATGATATTTTTAGCGAGGTTAAAGAGACGAGTACTGACCGATCAGGAACTCGAAGTGATGAGAAATTCGACTTCCATTATACGTCATGGAAGCACGCACATGTTCCGAAATTTACGAGACAAAGGTAAATCAAATACATATATTTTTTATGAAATAAAATGTATAGTAATATCGATTTATAAGAATGTATTTAGCATACATTCACAGTAATAATGAATGATAATCGTACATAAGAATGGAAGTATCCAAATAAGTATTTATATATAATTTGTCACATTTTTAAAAACTTATCTATCTTGAGAAAAATTTCAAATGTTTATCAGATTTTTTTTTAAATTTAAAAATTGAGTTATATAAAATAGTATTTCTTATTCGTGGCGCAGAATATTTGTAGCGCATCAATAAATAAAGCCTTCGCGATTCTGATTACGGGAGGAGAATTCACGACATAAGTAAGATTCGATAAATCTGCAAGCTTCGGGTGCTACCATTCACACCTGGGAGCTTTCTCCCAAAGTATGCGATTCAACGAGAAAAATAATTCGCCGAGACGCCCGCGATAAGTACGGCTATCGATTGCGATCGACAGTCGCAACCTGTATTTATGGCAGTGCATATATTTATTGGTTTTCGCCACCCACGCAACGTTTCGTCGTGGCGGATGCAGAATAGTATCATTAGTTTAATGCGTTTCCGCGTTCTTTTTCTTGCGCGTTTCTTGCACATTTATCGCGCTAATGGAAATGCAAATAATCAGCAGACGGACCGATGTGAGGGCGACACATCCAGTTTCATACCTTCTCTTAATAATAACGAGTTCTCAGCTTTTTCTCTCTTCTTTTTTGTATGCACGCGAGGAGAAATTCCATGAGCGCAAACGAACGGATCGTTTTTATTAAAGATGCAGCGTTAGAATTAAGGATAAGTTAAGAAAATTGCAAACTATCGAACTGCCGAATCGCATTGTGTTGCTTATATGTCAAAATATTTGTTAATTATTCATTATAATTACTGCGTAATAGATATTGAGATATTACCTGAAAAATTTATAATTTTTTTTACATTTTGAAATTAACTTGATGGATGCTCATAGAATTGTGTGAAATGTTAAATAGAGATACTAGAATTTGATTGCCTAATTTCCTTATTAAATAATTTTGCAAATCTGTCTTCACAGGTGTGATAAAACAAGAAAAATGTATAATTATACAGAATGTTTTAATAGTCGATAAACATAGATGTTTCTGAAATATTTTTTATTAGAAATAATTTACAAGAAAATGAAATTTATGCAATCTTGAAAAACTTAATCTAAATTCAAGAATAAAAATTTATATATTATAGTAATTATATATATATATATATATATATGTCATCTTACTGTGCATCTTACTAATTCTACAAATATGTCAGAGGACAGAAATATTTATGGAACATAGCAGAAACGAAATAACAGATTTATATGCATAGAACATCAGCAGTTTGTCGACCGCTGTTTTCTTAATTTTCTTTTGGCTGTTAAGTTTCTTCGCTTTCAGAATCGTCAAAAGATTTTACGAGGTTGACTATGATCTGTAAAGTAGCCCTTTTGTTATAATACATATGCGAGAGAGTTAAAACTGCGCCGCGAGAGAATATATTTAAGATCAGAATTTAAGGTGCGTCTCCATCAGATCTCGCTTTTGCCATTAAATTCTAAATTATTGATCCTTCTTCAGGGTGATGGTTTCTCAAAAATATCTGGAATTCTGTAAGGCGTGTCTAACGTATATTCGACACTAGATATCGTAAACGTTTAGTGCTATAGATTTATATAAATCGCGTTGTACTTAAATGCGGATTAGTGGAAAAATTAAGGAAGAGTTGAAAGAAATTAGGAGAAAATTTATATAAGACATAGAGACAGAAACGTACAATATCATCTAAATTTATTTGTCACGGAAAAAATTTAATTCTCAAACAGTAAAATTCAATATATTGATCCATCAGTGTAGGAATTATGACAAATGCATATAAAAAAATATAAGATTATTTCTTTAATATAAAATTAGTAAGATGCAATTTTTTAAAAATTGATTAATTTACTTTGCAATTTTAAATCGTTCGTGTTTCTACTTTCAGGAATTATTTCTTACACGGAGTATTTGTTTCTTCTGTCTATCCTGACGAGTAAGTTTCTTGTCAATAATTGTGAACATATTTATAAAACGATTTAACATAAAACGCAATGATTGATCACGCTGTTTGCAAAGAACAAATTACACATGGGAAAAAATCGGATAATGAGTCGTTTGTTTTGTTTACGTAAAAATCATTATCTATTTATTCGGTGAGCTGTAATGGCTACATAATTTTTCAATTTATTTATTGGTACAATTTATTATATTTTATTATATTTTTAATAGTATATATTAAGTGCAATATAAGTATATTTACGTAAATGTTCCTTTATAAGATTTTTAGACTTCATGTAAAGTATACGGGATGTTTGACGAAATCTTTAATTATTTTTTTTATTTTGGAATAAATTGAGATTTTATAAAAAATTAATCCAAAGATTCGTGAATAAAAATGTAGATTATCTTAAATATTTTATGTCGAACCTTGCACATAAACTTGTATTTTTTTGTTTGAAGAAAACAAGTAGTATTTCATATATCACGTGCTACAAAAATGCTTTAATGTCGAACATATCAATATAAATTTACCGTGATAATTGATTTCTCATTGTAGAGCCGAAAACTGGTTTCCAAATCGCCTTCAACATGTTCGACACCGATGGAAACGAAAGAGTCGACAAAACTGAGTTTCTTGTGGTAAGATAATAGCATTGTATACGTGCATGTTTTTAATTATTACTATTATGTATGATAGAAGCACTATTAGAATTGTTAGCAAAAATATATTTATTATATTTTTCTTTTAATAATATGAAAAAAGGCTATGATATATAAAACAGATGCAGAAAGTAGACACAACAAACTTATTTTAAAATCTTTTTTAATTAACTTAAACATTATTCCTCTCTTTGGATTAATTTAGTTTTCATCAAAATTTTATTTTATTTCCTTCAACTTTTGCTCAATATTGCTGATTGTCAATATTTAATATTTCGGATTATTTTCATTTCTTAATGGTTGAAACTGATAGAAAACAAGTGCAATGATTAAAGAACCGTTTAAATTAGGATTTTAAAATAAGTTTGCCTAATTTTTCCTGACTCTTATTATAGTCCATTTTTTATCTGAATTCTTTTCTTATTTTACCTGTAAAATAAAACTTGAGATTGCTGCAGTTTGCACAATTTTTATGGTAGTTAAATGAAAAATTTCTTAGATTATTATTATATATAATCTTTATATTTTAGATGAATAAGAAGGTAAAATTATTTAATAATAACATTGCATACATATTATATTCTGGTAAATATTCTGAAGGAATATTTTGTATATTTATTTAACATTCTACTGTCTTATTTATTTTATATTCAAAATTTTATTTAATCTAAATTCCGAATAGTAAACTTGTAAGTCTTCAAATTACATAATTATAAATTTTACATTATTTGACATGTAAATACGCGATTGCAGCATATCCAAGATGCAAAGTTCCGATGATAGAGGAGAGAAGAAGATTTCTATCTTTAAATATTTAAAAATTTTCTTTCTCAAAAATACATACAACAGATGTAAGTTTTCATTGAATGAAAACTTATTTCCAGTTTGCACTAACCAGAAGGAACACTTGACCAGCAAAGAAGAACTTTAACCACTCAGAAACTTTTTATATTTAAATCGGTTAGCATAAAAGTTTTTACCGTTCTCACAGATTCGTCGTTTACTCGGTGGCAGTATGAAGAAACGAAATCTTGACGAGCTGACGATACGTGCAGTGAGTTTTAATTAATGTTCCTTGAATCAGGACGATGTCAAAAGTTAATTGATCGATCAGTTGTTAAAAAATCGATATAACGGAAGTGTCATTAGAATTCTTTTAATTATAAATTTTCTAACGATTATGATTATGATTATGAAAATAATATTAAGTATTGTTAAAATAATATTATGTGCATTTTATAATTACATGCACAATGCAAGTATTAATTGATTTTTTTAGAATACCTTATATCGATTTAAAAATAATTCATTTTTCAGCATATATTATTATTAATAAATTTTTTGCGATCTATTATATTTCAGATGCGTAACAAAAAAAATATTGTACTGTACAAGTAATTTTGTATTTTAGATGTATTATTCATTATTAATTTTTATTATTATTTACTATTATTAATTACAATTTATTATACTTGGTTGTTCAAACATTTTTTATATAATTTTGATTTATTTTTATTTTATTACAATTGTATAATTAGTATTATTTCTTTAAAACTAATGCTTTTTTATTTATTTCGAACAATTAGTTACGTGCCATAATTACTCCCAGCGAAGAAAATCTGGGCAAGGCAAAGCTTCGCGAAACTCGTCCAACTAAATCAAACGAAATTACCTCAAATTCTTATGTAAGTCAACAAACAAAGAGCTGTGAATCAATATTTATTATAAATTTTAAAAAATAATGTATATAGAAATTAATATTTAATTTTGGCGATTTTTTGTGCAATCTTATTTTTTATTTCACATTTATTTAAGATTTTTTTTAACATCTTATTGTTCGATTTGTATATTTTCTTTTACAATTTTTGTAATTTTCTTTAATAATAATTGAAAAATCGAATAATGTTTTATAAAACCAGGATTTATTTAATAATTATTAAATAGATTAACAGCTATTGTACTAATATAACTATTGTAATATAGCATATATGCAGGATATTTCTAGGCATATATGTATATAAATAATAATTCTATATGCATATAGATTAAATATAATCACAAACGTCACCATCAATATAATCAATCAGCATTAACATAATCATCATCGCTCTGTCTCAAATCTTGTCTCCGTTGATATTTGCATTGAATATGTTAACATGCAACTTATCATTTATCTAATATGCAACTTACAATCTTTGTTCTAACATATTAATAATTATTGTGCTAACACTATTTGCCACATATTTCAGATGCACTAACTCTGGATGCTGATCATTGCTGTCTCGTATTTTACCTTTGTATCCTATTATTTTAGCACATACCTATTAATAAAAAATATATTTAAATAGCATTGCGTCTTTTCTTGGCGAAAAGAATTGCTCTCTTATATTTTTATTCTATTTACAGTTGGAAAAGATATTTAGTCACGCGTGGAGAGGTCGCCATGGATGTGAAACCGAAGAGGAATTGGAACAATTACAGACACGTCAGAAAACACCGGAAGAAATTCAAGGCCAATTTATAGATGATGACCAGGTATCGTCATCTTATATTATCTTTATAAAGATAAAATGTCATATATATATATACACATACACACACATATCTTATATATAGAACAAATGAAAGAGAGAAACTAACAGAATTTATTAATCAAGCCTTGCAAAAATAACCAGCATTAAAATATTTTTTTTTTATGAAAATTTCGATTAAATTTTTTCTTTTTACTTTTGTTCGAATATTTTATAATAATTTACACTTTTTGATTATTAAAAAGATATGATTCAAATTATAGAATTATATTTTGTAATATGACTTAAATACATTTACAAATTTAAATATTATTATATTTTAAAACAATTTAATTAGATAAATTTATCAGACAATTATTAAATTAATAAGAATTTTTTTATGAAACACATAATAATCAGTATTTATGTTATGTATACAGGGTTTACAGCGACGTCATGCTGTGGATACCACATTGATGGTACATTTCTTCGGCAAAGATGGTACAAATGAATTGAAATACGAGGATTTCAAACGCTTTATGGAGAACCTGCAGCATGAAGTATTAGAATTGGAATTTCATGAATTCAGCAAAGGACACAACACGATTAACGAATTGGATTTCGCTAAAATTTTATTACGATATACATACCTCGAACCTGACGAGTAAATTAAAATTATTAAAATGTTTACTTAAAAATTTACTTTAAAGATATAAAGAGAATATTTAATTTATATACATCGTATATGTATATATATTTTTTTACTTTGAATTTTCAAATTAAACGCTATTCGAATTTTTTTCTATTTAAATTGTCACTGTATTTTTTAAGAGTTAAAAATGATTACATCAAATAAGTATATTTAAATGTACAGGTACGATAAATACTTGGACAGAATGTTGGATCGAGCAGATTTGCACATTGGTATTACGTTCGAGGAATTTCGTCGCTTTTATCAGTTTTTAAACAATCTAGATGATTTTTCTATAGCAATGCGAATGTACACGTTAGCCGATCATCCTATATCTAAAGGTAAAAAATAATTAAAATATTAAAACCGATTATTATTTTAAAAATACTTATTTACAATATTAAATTAAACACATCGATTTTTAGTGCCAATTTTTAAAATATTTCTTGAATTTTAGATGAATTTCAACGGGCTGTAAAGATATGTACGGGATCGATGCTTTCGACTCACATAATCGATACAGTCTTCGCGCTGTTTGATGTGGATGGAGATGGACAACTCTCCTACAAAGAGTTTATAGCAATTATGAAAGATCGATTACACAGAGGCTTCAAGGTAAAGACTACGGATTTATATGGATTTTTGAAAGTTAATAATGTCCTATAGAAATATGTATAATTTTTGAAATTAAATGCTTGCTGTATTACTGAAAACAAAACTGTACGAATGGTTGCCATTCCTCAGGATCTTCCAGATATATATTTTTGAACAATTTAGAAAATATAATAGAAATATTACAATTACTAATACGAAATAATTCGATTTGTTACAGTCTCAACAACGTAACGAAGGTTGGGAGGCATTTAAATTTTGTGTGAAACAAGAGATGAAAGCGCCTTAATGGAAATGGGAAAATTGGAATGCACAATAAGAAGAAAAGCAAAAACAACGATATTATACATAGTGATCATACATATGTATAATAGTATGGATTATTACCGGATTGTCTTATAATTGCCTATTTTCATCTTGATATTTATTTTAATAACAAGATAATGTTTTATGCAATGCACAATTGAATCTAAAATATTAAGGTAAATTTATAAATTAAATAATTATATATATAAAAGTAATTATTATTAGTGATACAAAAACGAAGGTGCTTTTTTTAAATATTTTTTTATTGATAATAAATACCAAAAATTATTATATATGTTGATAATGAATATTAACAAGATAATATTTAAAGTAGAAATTATCTTCAGCAATGTCTTTAATGTTAAATATTTTATTCTTATATCTTCTCAAATTATTATATAATGCCGTTATAAAAATATGCTTCTCTATAACTATTTGTCTCGCACAAAAGATCTTCAGCGATTAATAGAATTGTCCTGTATCCGCAGAATAACTTGAAATTCGTGCAATTTGTATTTAATATATGAATCAGATTATAAAATAATTTTTTCCTAATTTTTTAATTTTGTTACAATATTAAATTTTTAATAAATTATTATTATAGTTATTATTTCTTTAAATATTGAAACAATTTTTTTTTATTCCAGTAATTTAAACGAATTGCACAATTTCGAGGATAATCTGTTCAACTCTGTTGTTCAAAGTTAAAACATTTAAGCATTGCATAAGTCATAAGTATATTATAAATTGTGCCATAAGAGTAAAGATAATAAAGAAGCAATTACTGAAAAATTAACGTATTTAGACTTGAATAATCACTTAAATGTTTTAGCAAAACTATAAAGATAGATGTATTATTTACTTTTTGATAAAAATTTTCATTAATTTTAAATTGAACGGAATTAATTTATAATATTATAAAGCTTATAATATATAAGCTGTAATGTTATAAGTTATATTCAGTAAGATATGTTCTGAATTGTAAAGACAATTACATCGTGAAGATAAAATTAGTGACATCGCTCTTGCTTTCGAGTCACAAAATACAGTACGTCCTACACATAGCAGTCCAATTTTATGTTTGCACTGTCGGCCGTCGTAATTATATCGTTATCAGTCATCGCACCGATTGTGTCGGTATGCTCTTATGAGATATACTCTCAAGCCGACGAAAAAAGACGTGCCACTCTGTAGATTCCGGATGCGGTATCAGAACACTTCGTTACGCACGGAGATTCTGTACAAAGCCTGCTAGTTTCAGAAACGGCGAATTGTGTAATTACTGTCTAAGAATTCAGCTTCTCCAGACTGGTTCAAATTACCATGAGACATACAATGCAAAAGACCTACTGTCACGTGTCAATTGAATGACTATCCATAAAGATTAATAAATTATTTAATTATGTATTAAATGGTTTATAAAATTTGTCTGTTATTATTACTGACAATTATCTAATATAATCTTTTTACAAACAAGATTTTTTTTAGATATTCCAAGTATTTTTCAGATATAAGATTAAATTCATTTTCAATTAATAATATTAGAATTTTATTGTATTATATACATATATGCTTGCTTATTTTGTTTAATCCATTTTGTTTTATGTTAAATGATATGATTTAAAAAAACAGGATTACTAATTGATATTAACACATTATCACACTGTAATAATTTTTTTCAATTATTAAATTATCATTTTTCTGTTATATTTAGCTTAAATTTTTGAAAATTGTAAAGCAATTGTAAAACACATACGTTGTACAATTATGTAATTTAATTTTCTATAATTTTGTTTATAGGTGTTTGGGCCGTGGATTATTGAATAGTATTAATAGGTACTTTAATAAATAATTTATCCTACTTCGTTTATTGCTATTGTAGCATGACGTTAGCCAAACGATTAAAAAATAATAGTACGGAGGAGCGGAGCGGAAATTATTGGCGAATAAACAGTACTGCCTATATAGAACAACGCCCATCGGAACTGTCAGAACCGAAGTATCCGCCCGTGTACATTGCCACCGCAATTTCACAGTTTAGTCGTGAAAAGGAAGCGGATCGCATCGCACTCTCGACAGTCCTCGTCCGTGTTATTGTATCTCAGTGCTCGTCGACATCAGGACGTCAAGCAACCTGCTGGAGTTTGATATTGGGGATACCAATCGACTGTTGTGCAGCATGGGTGTGTGCAAAATAGCCAAATGGTTTAAGTAAGTTATTAATTATTCTAAATTAAAAATTTTAAAAATTTCGATAAATTGATGTAGGTAGAAAGTTTCATATTCATCAATTTAATCATTTTCAATTTAATCACTCGAATTTATTTCTAATTTATTAGTTTTTGATACCTGATCATTTCTGATTTAATAATTAAAGTAATCATTTATTTATATTTTTCTCAAATTATATCTTTGCTCTTTTGTATAGATAGTTTTATTAGCACAAGACAAAAATATGTTATATATACTTAGTTTAATGATTTTGTCTCTTATTTAAATATGATTATATCTCTCGAAATAGAATATTTACAATAAAAGATGTGTATAAAAATGATATTATCCAAAACGATACAAGTTTATCATAGTTATATAAGTATTAGATTTTTTAAAGTGTTACAAACAAAACTCAAAATTTTTTAAAATTTTCATTAATCAATATATTAGTTGTTTTTAATATGTATTTTCACTATTTTTAATTATAATATGCCGTATACTTCAGATACATATAAATTAATATTTTTCATTATGTTATTATTAGTCATATTTTGCACGCATTTGAAGAACAATTTGGATAATCTCCTGTCTTAAGAAAGTGTTTATATCATTCGATATATATGAGGTGAAGGTCGCCGACATTCGTATCAAATAGATCAAATAAATAAAGATAAAAGAGCTTTAAAAAAATTACTCTGCACATACAAATTCACACATTAAATATAACGAATGTTAAATATTTTCGTAATGTTTCAATTGCTACTAAGTAGAAAACATTTATTTAATAGAGTATTTATAGCGCGTATTATGCAACTTTTCATTCATTATTTATTTAAATTTCTCATTGTGCAAAATGTGTGTTGTCACATAAAAATTAAAAAATTTATATAAAAATTATATTAAAATTATATATTATTTTTATTATATTAAAACAGACGTCCAAGTGAGATATATTTCGATTGGCAAAATATAATTAATTTTAAAACATTTTTCATATAAATGATTATAATATTATTCCTTTGAAAATAATTATATTTGCATATCTGATAAATTTTAAATGTTCTTATTAAATATGTATAACATAAAAGCAATAAGGCAAATTTATATAAGAATCAAATAAACAGTAAATATTTTTTTGTAATGAAACAGATACCACTTCAATAAGATAATTGTAATAATATAAATTAATTCTGTTTATATATATTTATTAGAATATCTATTTTTTATAATGAAATTTTAGCATTTTTATAGCATACTTGTATGTACATGTATATGCATTTTTAACATCTTTTAAATCCAAAAGTGAGCTCGATAAATAATTGCTTAAAAAATGCAGCAACGAAATAAATTAAATTTATCATTTGTCGGACGATAGGGAAATGTATCATGATAGACACTTTAATTGCAGGCTTATATAAAGATAATCAGCTCTTTCTTGATCGATACATGCATAAATGCAGGCACGGGAGCTGCATCTACATAAGGAAGATAGAGAGAGACATATCTAATTTGAATAACATAAGCGGAAGAGCATGTAGCTGGGAGAGAGACTTCGCGATTTGCTTCCGAGTTTCTCTGCGGCGAGGAGGAGATCTACTTTCCATTCCGTGAAAATGTTCCGAAAAGTTCGAGCGTATCGAAGACACGTGCTAATTACAGCCGAAAGAATAGCGGTCGGGAGTTTGGGCAACGAGAGGCATCATACCGTTTCAAACTAGACGTTTCAACCTGGCCTATGTATTCGAGATCTGTAATGACTGTCATTATCTCCTCCTTAAGTCGAGCCGCGTGAGATCGTACATACATTTACCTTACTTATTGTCAGTACTTGGACGGTGAAGAATTGCATTTAAAAACTGCTCTGACGACTGAGATGATGAGTGAACGAACATTCTATTGAGCGAAGATGACAGAAAAAGCCATTAAAATTCACGAAGATTACAAAAAAATTACTTCTCATTGAAATTCAGCGGTATTATCATTTGCACAAATTGTCTGGAACACAACTGACCTTAATTTTAACAATAGATCATTTGTATTTTCTCGATGAAGAACATGAATTATACTTTAAAAGAATCAAAATTATGAAAAATTATACGCGTATCTACTTATATGTAAGTTATATTTAGTCGTATATTTCAAGATTAATTAATGCACGCACATAATTCTTTTATTTTTTATTTATGCCGGCACTATTACATTTTAGTTGAAGAATGTCGTTTTTGCTCAATAATTAATGCCAGTCGTAACAAGTATGTTTACGCAGACATTGTCTAGGTCAGTTAACCAGGTCGATTGACTTAACTAAGTGAACGTATAATCGATTTTCGAATTTATGCATTTATTATTATACATATTAATTGCATACATATAGATTAATTGTATGCATATATTATCTTTCTCAACTGCAACCATATAGAAATAAATGTCTAATAAAAATAGCATAATCAGCTGTTTGCAAGTGAATCGAAAACTCGAGCGCGCAACGTTTCACTAATTATAAATTACTCTTATAAAATTATTTCTTATTTCTCCTGTCTTCTTGTTTAATTAACGCCTTTTAAATCTTATTGAGATATATATATTTAAGCTCACTTTCTGTGTTTTTCAGAGCAAACACAGAATCGTCGAATAAAAAATGCGTTGTAAGAAGAATGCTGCAAATTACCCAGATCGCGTTATCATTTTATCTACGAAAGTATACAAATAATAAATCATGTTATTCTCGTTTAAAATATAATTGAAATAGACTATTTCTAGTTGATCTATTAATCAAAAT